CCCTCCCTCCTTCTCTCCCTCCCTCTCTCTCTCTCCCTCCCTCCCCCCATCTCCCCCCTCTCTCTCTCCCTCCCTCCCTCTCTTCTTCCCTCTCTCTCTCTCTCCCTCTCTCTCCCTCCCCCCCTCTCTCTCACTCTCTCTCTCTCACACCCACACCCACAGATCCCTCACACAAACACCCACCCACCCTCAAAGGCAGCCACATTCCTAGCCTGCTTTTGAGCTCCGTTCTCAGGCTTCATGCAAGGAAAGCTGCAGAAGCAGCAGAAGTCTTTCTTTCTCTCCCCCAAAACTCCACCAGAAATGAGTCTTCGCTGGAGTAGCCTCTTGCAGCAGGATGCCTTGCTGGATCCCAAAGACTCATTTCTGGAGGAGTTTGGGGGAGAAAAAGAAAGACTTTTGCTGCTTTCCTTGCATGAAGCCAAAAGCAGAAGAAGAAAGAAGCAGAAGAAGCAACCCGATGGCCAGGCAAATCCCCCCCTCCGCCCTTTCTCCCCCTCCCCTCACTACCTCATGTTGTTCCTAATGCAAGCGAGGCAAGCCTTGTGTTCCTGTGGGCTATGCGGGCAGCAGAGACTTGTGTTCCCCCCCAACCTCGATTAATTGCTTTGGGGGGGGAGATACTCTGGGGGTGACATTTCTCTGAGGACCACCAAAATTTTCTCATTGACTACCAGTGGGCCACAGCCCACCGGTTGGTGACCACTGAACTAGAAGATTTTCAAGGTGTCTTCCAACTGTTTTTCTGTTCTGTTCGTGTCTTTGCGTGTTTTCATTTAGATGTTTCTACATCATATGATGAGGTTCAGGAGTCTATGCTGAATTCTGGTGACATTCCCCCTAATCTGGGGAAATTTTTTTTTTTTTAAAAGACTTTGGGGGGCACATGGAGGTGATTTTTTGTCCATTTCTTTTCTCATTAAAAAAAAAAAAACAGTCCATCATAACTTGGGTCTTTGAAAAAGAAAAGAGGTTGTACTTAGACCTCTTCAGTCCATCAATGTCATTTTGCATAAAAGTTGAGTTTGGGAGAATCGATTCTACCCTTTACTTCTATCTTTCTACATTTTCCTTTTTTTTTTTTTTTTCCTTTGGCTGCTGGCTGATTACTGCAATTATCTGTTTCTACTTTGCTGAGTTCAGCTAGAACAGAAGACACATGGGAAGAGCAACGAAGAAGAAATTCACTGATTATTTTGCAAGTTTGCCTCGTTCTGTGCTTCCGTCTCCCTTATAAATAGAAAAAGGAAAAACTTATAGAGAGCAATAACTGCTGATTGAAGTTCTGGAAAAATGAGGAATGAATAATAGTGATTATTTGTATTGCATGACCTTGGGCATTATGAAACAGATTCAATATTATTAAAAGAATTGATATTTAGTAGTTAATCACACATCTTTAGGTAGGATGGTTAGAGTCCTGAGAATTTTTTCCCCCATTGCTCAAAACTTTTTTTTCCCTTTAAGACAGGGAGTTCATGCTATTTATTGATTATATGAGTTGCTTCATCAATATCGCATTATCGAAATGATTACATCTTATGTTTTAACCTTCTTTACTTCGTGCACTGCTGAGGGATTACCTCATCCAACAAGCTGTTGAGAAATGTTTTCAAATATTCAACTGTAAATGGTTTGTGAATTGTTATAAGAATTAATAATCTAAACCACACATTGACTAATTAGTCTTTAGTCATTATCTGCTTCCCATTTTACAATGAAATTTTAATTCAAACATTTTGTGAACATTTTCTTTTATATGTCCTTGCAGGAAGGTAAAAAGAAACTGAATTGTTGTTGTTTTATTGAAGGGATAAGGAAAACTATGCTTCTTCTATGGTAGTATAATGATTTCTGATCAACAATCTACTGTAGTTCATAAATTAATAAACCATCAATCTTTTTACTTACATCGTGACCAGTCTGTCCAGGTGGACCTTGGATACCTGGTAAGCCACGAGGACCCTGGTGAAACAGGGAGAAGAACTTGATGTATTATCTCAAAGCTTACATATCACATTTTTCTATGTCATGGACGGAGAAACTTATTTGGGGCAAGAATTATCCTTGGTCTTCAACCGCATTCTAAATAGTTGTGGCAGAGATCAAAAGGAAAGAAAGAATCATTGACATATGCTTCTATAAGCATTAATTACTAATTAATCCAACAATCTCTCATCGTGTATTTAATGATTTCTCCTCTTATGTTAAAATTGCAGTTTGCTGAAGGTCTCTGTCACATGTTGTTCTGAGTCCTCATATATGTCTTTAATTTAAGGAGAAAATTACTAATGGTCAACACAGAGCAGATACATAGTAAAATCAGTCACCTTCCAAATTTTATCCATACACTAAACACACCTAAAACTTTACCAGCTTTGCTGCTCTAAATTACCCAGATATCATCTAAAGAGGTTATACTGTTCTGTTTTCTTTGTTCTGTTTTCATCCCTTGGTACTGTAATTTTCAGCAATGCTTCTTTAAAAATTTCAGCATTTCACTCTTTCAAGTGAGTTGAATTGAAAAAAACTAATAATGATTAATTCAATCAATAAATTAATAAGGCAAATTGTATGTGAAAGCTTTCTTATTTAAAATTTCCTGACACGTGGACACAGAGGAAACCGTGTCAAAGAGAATCCATTCCTTGACAAGCCTGTCTTCTACATATGGGAAGTTGTTTTAAAGGGGATGAACTGACCTCTAACACTGGAAAATGACCTCTATCAAAAGAGGTACTATCATATGGCAGCAAATTATCCTTTAATGAATCCCATAATAATCTAGCCCTTGAGTATTCTGCTCAAAATCTCAGAGGTTGTGGAAGGCCTTAGTGCCTGGATGTCTATAGATCATAAGCAATGTCATAAGGCAGGATATTTAGGAATGTACAGAATAGAGTCAAGTCAATATTTCTATATTAATTGGTATTACTGATACTGTATGTATCTGAATTTTCTACTATCACTGGCAAACCAAAAAGTGATATAATGCAATAATATTTCCATTCTACTTCCTATCACATACTGCATATAATTAGAAAGACCTACTGTACCGGTGGCCCTTTGTCTCCAGGAGGTCCCACAGGTCCCTGAAAAATATGGGTAATGATCATTCACAAAGCAAACAAATATTGATTTATTCAATTTTTGTAGCCTCCCAACTCAGCTGGGCACATAAATAACAAATGAATGTTACCATAAGGACAATTTCTGAAATTACATGTTAATCAGTGGATACAGTTATCTAAAACAAATTTCAGGCTAATTGTTTTGAAAATTATACCCTTTTACAAACATTCAGGTTGGAGATGGAATTGAATTTGAAGGTAATGTGATTTTAGAACTGAATTGACTTTCCAAATAAAACCCAGAAGCCTGCTTAAACCATGAACTTGACTGTTTTCAAATTGTTTTGGATGTTTCTACAGACAGGAAGAATTTCCACCACCACTCCAAAAAAACAATTTTACACTTCAATAGGAATGACTGAATCAAATGGGATTGATTTTGAAATTCTAATCAATGATTTGACTTAGAATATGACTGATTCACCAAGGGATAATGTTTGGCCTTTTTTTACATTATACAGTGGTGAATTTTCTACAGAATAATTTTAATGTTACAATTAATGTTACAACTAGACACAAGGACAGCCATCACTCTGCTAAACAAATGTCCAACCTGAGCACTGTCCAACTATTTACAAAGTCTGCACTACTATTACTGTTAATCTTTTCATCACTCATCGCCCATCCTCTTCCACTTGTGACTGTATGACTGTAACTTTGTCGCTTGTATTCTTATGGTTTTTTTGACTGTTTCCTAGTATGATTTGATTGCTTATTGTACCCTATGATTATTAAGTGTTGTACCTAATGATTCTTGACTCTTGATGAATGTACCTTTTCTTTGTGTACGCTGAAAGCATTTGCACCAAGACAAATCCCTTGTGTGTCCAATCACACTTGGCCAATAAAGAATTCTATTCTATTCTAATTAGGCCACTTGCTTAATTTTTAACATTAATATACTCTTTGTAATAATAGAAGCTACCCAGAAAATGTTAAAGATGCAGGATAAAAAGAGAATAGTTATGACAAATCTACTATTGGTCAAATAATCAGTATTGGTGAGGGTGGTGGCTTATGGTGGAGATGTAGGTAACTCAGTCTCTATGTTGTGTGTGTTGGTATCATTCATGCCCCCAAGGTAGATGACATGGATCACAATTCCAAACATGATTCACCTTTGAAATATACATTGAGCTTCATCACAAATTAGTGAGTAATATGTTCCATACTTACTAATGGTCCTGAAAGTCCAACACCTGGAGCTCCTCTGTCTCCTGGTTGACCTGGAACACCTGGGGCACCTCGATCTCCCTGACAAGGACAAGTGACATAGTGTATATTTCAATACATTTATTTTACAGACCTATTATATTCATTATCCATCTTACGTTAGAACACAGTCTGCTCTACATGTTCTCACTGTCAGGATTCCAGCAGTTGCCCTAATTAAATCATGAGCCTCAAGCCAAGCTTCAAAAACTTCAAAGGATTTATTAGGAACGAACATGTCGGCATGACCTGTATGAAGCCAATTCTGAGACACGTAATTTACTGTCATCCTTGACCCTGGTTTTCTCCCACCCCTCTGGGTGTATCATAATTCATATTCTCCAACAAAACATGTTCATAGCCAAGAGTCATCAATCACATTCTCCAATTAGATTGGAGTTTGGAGTTTGGAGACTGGATTTTGAGTTATGGGGAGAATGAAAGAAAATATGTGATTTGATAAATGTTATTTATAAAACTGAATCCCAAAGGTGGTTTTTTTCAAGAGGCAATTGGACTTTCTTGTTTTTCTTTGAAGATGCTTCGCTTCTCGTTTCACTTCTCACCCAAGAAGCTTTTTCAGCTGTGAAGACCAAAGCTTCTTGGATGAGAAGTGAAACATCTTCAAAGAAAAAAAAGGTCTAGTTGGAAGGAAGAAAAGAAGGAAGGAAGGAAGGGGTTGTTGTCATAGTTGTGGTTCCTCTGCTGAACATAACATTAGATTCGATGGCCAGAAGCCCAAAGTGACCAGACATGGACTGAACAGTGTTCTTACAACCAGCAGAGTAGGAAGCAGTGGTGGTATACTACTGGTTCAGCTCGGTTTAGTCGAACTGGTAGCAAAAATTCCTACCAGTTCAACTGAACTGCTAGTAAAAAAAAAAAAAAAGCTTCTGAAGATCAGCTGAGAGGAGGAAAAAAGCCTCAGCTGAGAGGAGAAAGAAGAGAAAAGCACAGGATCGACACTCCCTTCTGCTCCGGCACTTTTCTCTTCTTTCTCCTCTCAACTGATTGGTGCTACAGGCCTCAGCTGGTGTGTAGAAAGCTGTGTGCGCCTGTTAGGTGTGTGCATGCATGATCACCAAACCGGTAATGGAACAGGTAGAATCCCACTGCTGGTGGGAAGTCATTACATCTGATTGAGAGACCTTGGGTAGAAATCATATCTGAGCAGGATAGGAGCAACAGATGGCATTCTTCATTCCTGTCCTCCTGAAATAATGTCTGGCCAGATTTGTTCTTCTGAAAGCAGGAAATGTACCTCAGTTTATCATAGAATGGCAAAGCAGGTACTCACCTTAGACCCAAAGGATCCAGGTAAACCTGGTGGACCTCTTTCACCCTAGAAAGACACACAGATATAAAATAAGTTAACACAATCTTCCCAACTGGAAAGTCCATACATCCATTTCTTAGTCCTCTGAAAATGAATTCCATCCCTGAATCTGCTTACTCTCAAGAACAGACAGGTAGGGAACCCATTTATAAAGAACAAATCATAACCACTTAAGCTTGCGTGATTAATATGTTACAAAGTAACTCTCAATTTTAATAGATTTTGGATGCAATGGAAAACATTTCTGTTTGGAAATTCTATCCTGAAATAATAGACAAGTTAATCAAAGTAGTCTTGATGAGCTATTTATATTTACATTCCATTTGTTATATTTATGCCTATAGCAAAATTACATAAATTAATGTGTTCCACATCCTTTAAACTTCAACAAATATGTAGTAGCATACAGCACTCCAAAATGGTCCATTACATTGAGGTTTGCTGTCTTGCTATGTTCAGAAAACATGGCAAAGTATTCCCAAACAAATTGTCCTTTAGCTGCTTAATTTGATGGTCAAGTTCATTAACATACAAAGACAATGGCCTGGAAACCCACAAACTACTTGAGCCATGTTCGCCAACCAACTGGTTATGTTGTCTCATCCCAGCCATGATATACAACAAGCAGACTATCTTGAAGCTTTTTGCAACCTTGATAGTCTTAAAAAAAAAAAAACCAATCAGGAAGCATATAGCTTTAAACCATGGAGCAAAATAAATAAATAAATGCAAGGGTGGAAATGTTTGAATAGATCACAACTGGGATGGGACTTCCTCCTCTTTTCTGACATTTGGAGTGAAATGATAATACTTTGTGTATCAAGTAATCAGATGGTCCTTTAAGTTTGAGGAAGGAATTTACATGTCCTCTTTTGGAGGGAGACCAATTGATAGTATTTTCATTTTCTATGTGTCCATCAAATTTCTTTAATCTCCTACAGTATCCTCTTTTTGGAGTGGGATGAGTGGCATATACATTAAATAAATGATTAAATATTGTTTGCTTCCTAAAAGCCTAGTCAATATTTAATCTGCAGTCTTCCAATAATTAGTTTCTCTTTGGATCTACTGTATGAGGTGCTTCAGAAATTTTCTTCTTCCAAATTTACTCATAGGCTCTGTGCGTATCTCACTTAGTTTTAACTTTGTTTAGGGTTTTGTGTGCATATATGTGTGTAGGTGTGGCATAACACTTCTACAAACCTAGCTTATTGGGTTAGTTGATGATTCATTGTAGTTCGTGAACTCAGAAAAGCAACTATGTCAATCACTAAATCATTGGCAAACGCAAGCATTGAATTACAGAGAAGACTGCCTAATTGTGTTTGCAAGAGTTCACAAATTTTGTGCTTTCATCTTTAATTTCATAAATGGTCCAACCTATTGTTCTTCCAATTTCAGTTTCTTTCCTCTAATGGTTGCCAGGATGCAGAAGAATACATGCAACCCAATTAAATTAAAACTTGACAGGAATTAATAATAGTAGCAGCATTTTGACATAGCCTTTTTAATATGCTTTATCCTGATATTGTGTTTCTGGGCAAACAATTCATAGGAGAAGGGAAGACAGCTGAAAATGCAAATAAAAAAATGTTCAGCTAAACCAATGACAAAGTAGAGAATACTGTGGAATAGAATTATATCTCACAAAATGAGTAAATTGGTCCAATCAGATCATTCCTAAATGGACAAGCTTTTATTGATCAGTTACTAAGTCATGCCTGACTCTTCGCAACCCCATGTCCCACAGCTTGTCAGATACCCCCTCCCATTCTCCACTATCTCCTGGAGTCTGCCCAAACTCATGTTCATTGTGTCAATGACACTATCTAACCATCTCATCCTCTGCCATCTCTTTTTTCTTTCGCCTTCCATCTTTTTCAACATCAAGTTCTTTTCCAAAGAACTTCTCATCTTCTCATTAGGTGGCCAAAGCATTTGAGCTTCAACTTCAGTATCTGTCCTTACAAAGGACAGAGTTGATTTGTCAGCCCTAAAATGGACACCTAACATCAAAAACGTGATCAAAAAAGCACAACAAAGAATGTTCTTTCTGCGCCAACTCAGGAATCTCAAACTGCCAAAGGAACTGCTGATCCAGTTCAATAGAGGAATGATTGAGTCTGTCATCTGCACCTCTATAACTGTCTGGTTTGGTTCTGCAACCCAACAGGACAGACACAGACTTTAAAAGTAATTAGGACTGGAGAAAAAACAATTACTACCAACCTGCCTTCAATCAAGGGCCTGTATGAGTCAAAAAGAGGGCTATGAAAATATTTACAGACCCCTCACATCCTGGACATAAACTGTTTCAACTCCTACCCTCAAAATAATGCTATAGGGCACTGCACACCAACAACCAGATACAAGGACAGTGTTTTTCCAAACGCCATCACTCTGCTAAACAAATAATTCCCTCAACATTGATATTTACAAAATCTGTATTACTATTAATCTTCTCATTGTTCCTATCACCCATCTCATCCCACTTATGACTGTAACTTTTTCGCTTGTATCCTTACGATTTATATTGACTGTTTCCTAATATGATTTGATTGCTTATTTGTATCCCATGACTATATTAAGTGTTGTACCTTATGATTCTTGTTGAATGTATCTTTTCTTTTTATGAACACTGAGAGCATATGAACCAAAGACAAATTCCTTGTGTATCTAATCACACTTGGCCAATAAAGAATTCATTCATTCATTCATTCATTCATTCAATTCTCTTAGGATTGACTGATTGGATCTCCTTGCAATCCAAGGGAGTCTTGAGGGTCTTCTTCAGTAAGTATCTGCTCGCACAAATAGTTTAGGAATTAAATTTACCCTTTCTCCATCTCGACCCTTTCCAGGTAATCCAGGTTCTCCAACAGCTCCTGGTTCACCTGTAGGCCCAGGTGGACCTGATTTTCCTTCCTTACCAGGTTCTCCCTGCAGAAGAGACAATGGGAATAGGGGACAATTAGAACAGGCTATGAGGCAGGCAGTACCTTCTACTTATTTAATTAATCAATATCAAAGGTTTTTCACTCAGACTGGGAAGGACTCTGGGGCTGCTCATCACCTGTTCTTCCTAAATAAAGAAGCCAAGAAAAAATTCTAGAATTTTCTCCTAAAAACCTTGTGGAAAGTACTTCAGTGTTGGATTGCAAATATTTATTTACATCAAATGGACTTTTAATAGCCTCATTGTACCAGCTTTCCTTCAAGCATGCAATTCATTTGGTTTATTCATCTACTTGTATGACAAAGAAATAATGAAACCAGGTGACCACCAATGAGGAGAATGTAGGATGTGGAAAACACATTCTTAAGGCTAGAAAAATAAACTGTGGTGGCCCAGTGGTTAGCATGCAGTACTGCAGGCTACTTCTGCATACTGTAGGCTGCCAGCAGTTTCATTCCCACTGGCTCAAGGTTGACTCAGCCTTCCATCTTTCTGAGGTTGGTATAATGAGGACCCAGATTTTGGGGGGCAGTATGCTGACTCTGCAAATCACTTAGAGAGGGCTGTAAAGCATTGTGAAGCAGTATATAAACTTGCTATTGCTATTAAGTGATCTTTAACAACATTTTATTTTGTTTTTATTTTAATATAATTTTCCTTTTTCCCCTAGGTCTGAAATATATCATTTGTATAAAATCACAAAAGTGACCTGGAAGATTTGAATGTCACCTAACTCTTCATTACCTTCTGTGCGCCTTTGAGGATAATGGCACAGAAGTAATGCAAAAACTGGCCAAAACAATGGAGATTCTCAGTCATCTAGGTCAGGGGTGTCCGACCTTGGCAACTTTAAGACTTGTGGACTTCAACTCCCAGAAGCTGGCTGAGGAATTCTGGGAGTTGAAGTCCACAAGTCTTAAAGTTGCCAAGGTTGGACACCCCTGATCTAGGTCATGGTTATCCCAAAGGTGCTTTTTGACTGTCCATGTAAAGGCTAGCAAAAAGGAAAAGTATGTATCATAAATTTCTCTGATTCTGAAGCAGAAGAGGCAGATTCTCAGCCAGTAGTTATATAGCAAATACGCTATGAGCTTCCCGGGAATGATGACGGAGACCCAATGATGGAAGATGATGATTATTTGGAGAACAAGGAGTTGAATCTTCAACTTGGGAAGCTGGAGGCCCTAAAACATATTGCTAGCTAAGGAGGGCTGAGCAGCCAACATCGGCATACCACCTTTAGAGGACAAGGCAGTCAATCCTCTAATTATACAATGCTTTAAACTCAATGCCAACTAAAAAGACACTTGTTTGATCTTTTCAGCTGCCAGAAAAATGGAAGTGGGGGAAAAACAGTGCATTCCTTAAGTGCTTAGATAATTACGCTGGCAGCCCAAAGTTGTCAAAGTGCAAGGATATTACTGAAGAGCATGACAGATGACTCTCGGGGATGGATGTGTCCCATTGGAGTGGGGGGAAGATCCAGGTCAAGGGGGAAATGAAAAATGTAATTTAGTATTGGCTGCATCCAGCTAACACCAACATGGCCACTTCTAATAAATCAGTTTTCTTTTCTCGGAGATGTGGCTAGAGACTTACGATTTGAATGGGGGTGGATTTGTTGGAGTCCTGACACTCCTTTCCTCTAGTTCATGGGTGTCAAACTTGCAGCCCAAGGGCCGGATGCGTCATGTGCTGGTCCTGCCCCCACCCAGTTTAGCGAAGGGGAAAAAAGCCCTGATATGTCACATGACACCACCAGTTTGACACCCCTGCTCTAGTTGCAATGTTAGACCTGCCTTCCTTTGGCTTCACATCCTTGATTTCTCCTGATTCCTTGACCTAAAAACAGTTGTTTGGATTACAATCCCCAGCCTAGAGATTGTAGGCTTCTTTGGCCTTAGACTATAAGACACTTTCCCTTTGGCTGTGTTTAAGCCACAGCTACTAATTACAAGAAGAGGTACTTTCCCTGCAGAGCTTCCTCTACCTAATTTACAACCGATAGCTCTACCATTATCTGTTATGGTTCAGCTAATAAAACTGTCTGAAGGATACTAATTGCAACCCTGCTTATTGCTGTTCAGCTGGTACATGACAATATTTGACATGCACAACATCAGATAGAGGAGATAAAAGAGCGTACCGGTAACTGCTTTATTTAATGTATAATAAGGTTGGCATGTTATTTAAGCAGCATCTTTGGCAAGCCAAAATGATGAGCCACAACATGGTAATTTCATCAGGCGAATGCCAACATTACATACAGTACTAGCATCACAATGTTTGATGCCAAGTATAAGATATGGCATTTGATGTTATTGTACAGGTAGTCCTTGAGAGTGGTGTGGTGGCCTAGAGGTGGAGCTCTCACCTCACAGTCAGGAGGCTGTGAGATCGATTCCTAGGTAGAGGCAGATATTTCTCTCTCTGGGCACAATGAGAATAGATCTGCTGAACAAAACTCCTCATTAGTGACAAGAAGGGCATCTGGCCAGTAAACACTCAGATCTATTCAGTTGCCCAGACTCCACCCCGCAAGAGATTATGGGGTCGTTAAAAGATTATGATGATGATACAGATAGTCCTTGACTTGCACCTGTTCATTTAATGACTATTCATAGTTATGCAAGTACTGAAAAAAATTGACTCCTCACACTTACAACTGCCCCAGTGTCCCTTGGTCAAAATGTGAACACTTGACCGCTATTGTGTATTTACAATGATTGTGCAGTTCCTCAGAATCATGTGATCATCATTTGCAACCTTCCCAGGGATCTTCCAACAGATAAGTCAATGGTAGAAGTCAGATTTGCTTAATGACATCATGATTTGTTTAAGGATCATGGTGATTTGCTTAATGACCATGGCAAAAAAAAAATACATCATTAAATCAGGCACAACTCTTTGTGAGAAAAGTTCAAAATGCGGTCATAAGTCAAGAACTACCTGTAATTCTTTACATGTTTAGCTCTGACCCTTTCCCTCCTGCAAATAACCATTACACCTTAGCTGTCGTTCCATCTTTTCACCTTTTCTCCTTTTTGTCCATCAATTCCTGGCTGACCAGCAGCTCCTGGTATACCCTGTAAAGAAAATAATATGGAACAAATCAAACTCCGCTATTGAACAGGTTGATTGGGAATAATATGGGCTTGGTTCAGGCATGTGAAAACTTAATAGATTATTTGCAACAATAAACATAAAGAGCCTGTATGGTCTAATGCAGGTCTGTCAAACTGGCCACCCGTGGGCCAGATAAGTCACATGGTGGCCACACCCACCCCAGCTACGCAAAGGCAAAAATCATCACAATATATTATGTGATCCAATCAAGCTTGAGAGGCCTGGTCTAATGGTTAAGACACCAGGATAGAAAGCAAGACACCGTGAGTGTCCCACCTTAGGCCTGAAACCAGCTGGGTAGTCACCAATTGGTTGGACCAATCAGCAAAAGACTGTGATTTCTAACCCTGCTTTAGCTCTGGAAGCAAGCTGGGTGACTCGGTTGATGTGGGGAAAATAGGAGGAGGAAGGTGTGTTGGATATATTAACTATATATTGAGCTATTTGTAAAATGAATAGAATAGAATAGGACAGAATAGGACAGAATAGGACAGAATAGAATAGAATAGAATAGAATAGAATGGAATGGAATGGAATGGAATGGAACGGAACGGAACGGAATGGAACGGAATGGAATGGAATGGAACGGAATAGGACAGGGCAGGACAGAACAGAATAGAATAGGACAGAATAGGACAGAACAGGATAGAACAGAACAGAACAGAATAGAATAGAATAGAATAGAATAGAATAGAATAGAATAGAATAGAATAGAATAGGACAGAACAGGACAGAACAGAACAGAACAGAACAGAACAGAACAGAATAGAATAGAATAGAATAGAATAGAATAGAATAGAATAGAATAGAATTCTTTATTGGCCAAGTGTGATTGGACACACAAGGAATTTGTCTTGGTGCAAATGCTCTCAGTGTACATAAAAGAAAAGATAAATGAAGGCTGGATACAAATAAATACATGAACAAATAAATAAATTAATGAAAAAAATTTGTAATCATCCCTTTAATTACTTCTCTTGGATATTATGTCATGGTATTTTTTATTAAATGTTCCACATTTATTCCTTTATGACATTTGTACATCATTTCCCATTAAAAATATCCCAAAACTGTTCATCATAAATGTTTGTATGCTCATTTTGTGCAGTAAATGCTGTACTTTTTCAACCAAGAGCAATTAAAGACATCCTTGCAGCTGCATATTGAAGTAAAATATAGCTTTGTGTCTCGCATGTTTACAACAGACTCCAATCCTTTTTCAAAGAATGAGACCACAAGGTCCCATCGCTCTTTTGAAACAGAGAGGAAAAAGGATAAGAAAACAGCAAGGGTCATTTTTGCCCACAAAGTTCATTTTCTTTTATTGCGAAGATGACTTATTCTCACAAAATGGCGCCGCATGGAAACAGCCAGATAAATATTTCAGATCCCTTTAGGAAACCTGCTCCTTGCAGTTATGTTACAGGGAAATAGATTCCATATGCACATTGGGGGAAAAACTCTTGAATTGTAAGAACTGTTTAAACAGACTGCAAGAAAGGGGTTGGACTCTTTTTCCTTGGATGAACAGATTAACAGAATTGGAAGGGACCTTGTAGGTCATCTAATCCAAACCCCCACTCAAGCAGGAGACCCTACACCACTTCTAACAAATGGCAGTCCAATCTCTTCTTGAAAGCCTCCAGGGATGAAGCTCCCACAACTTCCGAAGGCAAGCTGTTCTATGGATTAATTGTTCTCACTGTCAGAAAACTTCTCCTTATTTCCAGGTTAAATCTCTCCTTGTTCAGTTTCCACCCGTTGCTTCTTGACCTGCCTTCAGGTGCCTTGGAAAATAGCTTGCTCCCTTCCTCTCTGTGGCAGCCTCTCGGATATTAGAAGACTGCTGTCATGTCTCCCCTGGTCCTTTTCTTCACTAGACTAGCCATGCTCAGTTCCTGCAACCATTCATCATATGTTTTAGCCTTCTTTCCTCTCATCATCTTGGTTGGTCTTCTCTGCACTCTTTCTAGAGTTTCAACTTCTTTTTTATAGTGTGGTGACCAAAACTGGATGCAGAATTCTAGGTGTGATCTTACTAAGGCTTTAACAGAGTGGCTTGATCACTTGATCTTTATTGTATCCCTCTGAAGCAAAAAACTACATAGTACCCATCATGGATGCTTTCATTGGCATTTCAGCACTGGGACTGGATGAGTGAATGGCCTTAGTGACCCCTTTGAATCCTAAAATTTTAGGATTCTGTAAATTCTAATAAAACCAGTAATGTTTCTCCAAATGTTTGGCCATTTCCATCAAAGTTTATGGATAGATCCCAGCTTGTTGCAGCATTTTTAAATGCTATGCAGACAGTTCTCAACTTACAACCTCAATTTTGTCTGGAATTTTGGTTGTAAATCATTGCAGTCATAAGTCGTGTCACCATGTGACTGGACTTGATTTTATGAGAGTTTTATGACAATTGCTAAATGAGTCATGTGATCATTAAGCAAATCACATGATTGTGTACTCCAAATCTAGCTTATCTTTTTGCTGGAAAATAGCTAAATATTTGCAAAACAAAATCCCATGATTGCAAAATGCTGCAACCCATCATAAATATGACCTGATTGCCAAGCAGCTAAACTACACCTCACATGACTGTAGGAGATATGGGGCAGTTATAACCTTGAGGATGGGACATAAATAACTTTTTTTACAGTACATCGTAAATGACCAGTTGTAATTTGAGGACTATCTGTACTTTCAATGCACTGCAGCATTGTTCCTGTATTCAGTAATAAGATGGGATAAATTCCATAGTGTGCAAGACATACACAAAAAAGAGGAGATCAAAGAATATGAGGCAGACACAGAAAAGGATGGAGAGACAATGTTAAAGGCATACTACAACAGCATCAAATAACAATGGCTGAGGCTTTCAGAAGACCAAGAATCAGGACTATCTCCTTCAATACCTGAAGTGGGAAAAGGAGGAGGAGGAGGAGTGGGGGGGCGAAGGGACGGGGAGGAAGGAGAAGAGGAGGAGGAGGAGGAGGAGGAGGAGGAGGAGGAGG